ATTTGAGGAGTCTAGAAACGTACTTAGTGAAATTACAAAATTTACTGAACAGTTCTATCAAATATCTGTACACAGATCATTATTTTAGCTTAAAATAGTATTTTACTATACACAGTTAAGCCCTCAAGTGCTTTAAAGTAATAAAAATGGGCATTGAAAATGTCGTCTCTGAGGATGACAGTGAAACGCCACAGGCACAGCAGCAGGTGGAACAAGGCCCTGACCTCAAGTGTTCTCCCTGGCCAGCGAGCCATCCTCATCGTCATCATCACCAGCATCGGACCATCATGGCCTCTCAGAATGGAAGTGGCTTAGGCTTTGGAGGGGGCGGGATGACACGCATGGAAAAGACCATCGGGTTTCTCAAACACGGAAAGCTCCTGCCTGAAAGCAGAACTTCTTTTCAGATTTCATCAAATGTGCTAGACGTAAAGGCTGTCACAGAAAATGTTAATTGTCCCTAATTCTGTTTTAGGAATACAGTAAATAACTTATATAATATTCTAAAAATAGCACCTTTAAAGAATTATAGAGGTCACTTTATTTTAGCCTCCTGGATCTGTCAACCCCAGTGGTTTTGAGCAAAGAATGCCCTCAATTTGGCGATGTGACTGACACACACATACGTGACTAACTTTGGTCCCAAAGCCATTCCTCTATCTGGCTTAGCCGTAGGAGCAAAGCCAAGTTTCTACCATAGTAGGTTTATGAGGTAAAATCAGAAAAAGGCCCCATCCAAAATGATTCTCGGGAAATCAGATTGCAGTCCAACCACCTTACCCATTTACTACCCAAGTCTAAGTTTGCTAATTTACCACAAAGTTTCAAAAATATACTCTAAGAAAGGAAGTGTACAGAGCAACACATTATCAGGAAGACATTACTGACGAGCTACACTCCTCAAGAATTCTGGGTCCAAACCACTGGGAGTGAAGATCACTAGGGTCCTAACAAATCTCCAAGGAGACCTAGCTCATCCCTAGCTTCACAGTCCATCTGTCCTCAGCCCAGTGCCGACCAGTCAGGACCCCGGGGGAGCAGCCCTTCCTCCGAGTGTGGACAATGCACTGTTGCCATTTACTGAAAGTAATAAAATATCCTGTGTGTTTTTTGAGATACAAGAAATTTACATATTTTCCTATCACATTTTATACAGGGTAGGTTAATACCAGGTGGAGCTATTAAAGATCTTTTTTTTTTTTTCAGAAAAGAGTAATAGTTAATTTTCTGAGACTACAGAACCACATCCGACAATAATAAACAGAGAAGTAGCAGATTGACATAGTGCTTTATTTAAACTGTCTGTACGAAGGAAGATAATGTGCGTCCCTATCGGATACGTGTAAAAATACTGAGGATGTACAGTTACAAAAACAGTCTCCTTTAGTTATTTCACATCCTTGTGGGTCATATGCTTAAGGAAATAAACAGTTTTAGTATGACCAACAGTAATACAGTTTCTTGGGTTCATAGTTGCGTCTGCTTAAAATCCTTACCCAGATGACTAGATCTTATGCAGATCTAATGAAGAACTAGCAAGGTCAAGAAATGTCACCAACTATAAAGCTACAGGGAGGTAATTCAATTACCAATTTAGAGGTTTTCTTTTTATTTAAATAAATACTTTACATTTCATGCTTGCCTGGAATACACTACAAGGAGCAAGATAATGAAATTCTACTGTAGACAGTACACAGTAGCAGCAAAGTGTGTACACTGAGGTGTAAGAGACCCTGCAGTTAGGAAGGAAGGCCCTCACTCGAGGACTCTAGAAGCAAGTGGCCCCTGCAAGAAGAGTCAGCTTTACAAAGCCAGAAATCAGATATGGGAAATGGAAACAAACCAACAAACAAAAAACCGTGATAACGCTACGTACTCAGTGTAGAAAGCAAAGCTGTGCGCAGCCCTGCCAGAAATCCACGCAGAAGCTGCCAGTTTCCTTCAAGATGGCCGTGTTGTGGCAAGAGGGCAAACTTCCCCAAGGAGCAGGGTGGGGTCTGACCTGTATGCCAGTGCAACGGTTTCAGGTTCTTCCATCTGCCAGAAGCCAAAACTACCGCTACAGGCAGAAGCAGCAAGGGCAGTTCAGAAATCTCTTACACACCTGTCTGTTTTGTGATTATTCCTCCAAGCCAATGGATTGAGCTGGGAGTGAAAGGAAGGGAGTCTGGAAGTTGAAGACAAGAAAACACCTTGTGTGATGCTAACAGAATTGCTAGGGATAACTGCCGGGGCCCTGCGGCCCGATGGAAGGACAAGGACGTGGGCTGGGACTGAGAGCCAGCTGCAAGGAGTGGCCCCTGGGGCGCTGTCCATGCTGTCATTAATCTCTAGGAAGTGTCCTTGGCCAAGGTCATGGAAATCACTGTAAGATTTGAGAGAAAAAAAACGCAGGCTTCCGATATGCTTAGTGTACGCTTGGCACTCGCCCTCTAAAGGGACAAACTCTGAAGAGCAACTCGTCTCAGTTTCCTTCTTTCTCTCACCTGCTTCTTTTTTTTATGTGATGGAGGCAAGACAACTTACAGGACATACCTTCTAGTCTACTTTCTTGTCAAAGTGAGACAGTCAACATCATTTCAAGTGGAAAATAAGTTAAGCTAGATGCGTAAGAATGAGTTACCATTTACTGTAACTTCCTACTCGAGGCTAAGGATGGATTCCACTCAGGTAGAAGTAATGAAAACTCAGGGTAAAACCTATGTCTGAACGTGTCTCAGCTGCCTTAGTAAAATGCCCTTTACCCCTGCAGTCCCGTGGTTCCCCCCACCGCCAGCAGTGGTTTAGATGGAGAGTCAACACTTCCAGATCAAGAGGCTAAGACATCTGCACACGAGTATGATCCATCCTACTTAGAAAGTCACTTGCTCTTTCATCCAATGCAGTCATGCTACTACATCAGGCTGTAGTCTTCCACGTGGGAGCTGCCAGCTCGTGCAACTAGAACACCTTTCCATGATCACTCCGAGGAGCTGGTGGCCGCCTGCCAGCTGTAGAAAGTGCCCCCGTTCCTCGGACTTCATAGGCTGCTTTGGAAAGTGTCAGCTCCTAGCACCAAAGGGTTGAATCTGAAGATCATCATTAATGAAGGAGAAAGATGAGGTTTGCATACACGTCCCCTTTAAGTGAGCAATGTTGGAATTTGGGGACATGAGTATATACAGAAAAAGCAAAGTTGGAGGTGTTCTTCTGATATTTTGTTTTTTCCCTGATGGCTTAATTCAGTGATAAATGTACCATGATCAGAATAAACACACCAGGTTCTTATCCTTCACTGCCTACTTCGTAAACACTCGAGATGGGTTCATTCTGTCAAGTCAAGTTCATTTTTTTTTTTTTTTTAAATCATCATTCAGGTCTCAGTTGTCTTCACTACCTTATGTCGCCAGACGGTCGTTAATATTTCAATTCTCAAATGAGCAAACATCACCATCCACGTGCTGCATGAACCCCCTGGCGTGGATAGCTGGGGATCTTCTCCCTAGTTAAGCACCGAGGGGTTAAACGACGCGTTAGCATCTCTTCTCCCAAAGCCAAATTCTAACAAGTAAGTACGGTTTCCGAGCCTCACACAGGAGAAAAAGTGCATGATTCTTATCGGCATGTACATTCCTTGCACATGGGTCAAATAAATGCAGTAAGTCTAGTCTATGGAAGTTGGCGCTGCATTTGCTAACATGACATACAATTCTTATCACTAAAAAATAAATACTACTGCAATATAAACAAAATCAAAAGGACATTCAAAGTTTTAACATCTGAGAAAAAGCTAATTCACGGAAAACTGCAGGTAAAAAATTGAAAGGAAGGCAAACACCTGTTTACCTTGGCGCACACATTTTGGTGAAAAGCAGGACCATGAAACCTGTCTACATTCTTCAGCCATCAGAGGTGATAAATGCCAAGAAGGGCCGAGGTCTCCCCGCCCGGGCCAAAGAGCCGCTCTGGTGCCAGCGCTGCAGCGGCCCCGCGCGCCCCCGCTGCCTGCACACGGGGCGTGCGCGGAACACCGGGCCCCTGCGCGTGCGGTGCGGGGGGATGTAGATCCCCGTCTCCGGTGGGTCAGTCCTGCTCTGGAATGTTGTGGCCGGTCTCTGCGGCCGCTGCGGCCGCCTCGGGGCGCTGACGCGTCACTGGCAGCTGGCAGCTGCGCACCCCACCCCACTGCTGGTTCTGAGCATTAAGCTAAATCTTCCTAGTCTAATTAGTTGCTGACTTATCTTCTAGAGAGTTAAAAAGTGTGCCTAGAATCAGTGTTTCTCATTTAGCCTCCACTGCTAGGGAAAAAGAAAAAGAAAAAACCTCAAGGTCCAGATGCGCCTGTGCGCGCGGGCGGGGCGGGCTCTGACCCCCGCAGACGGCGAGATCACCTCCTCAAGTCGCTGTAAGTGGGACAGCAGCAGCAGCAGCAGGAGACCTTAGACTGAGACAATTTCATGCAGAAACAAAAAAGTCAATGTGTCGCG